CTTCAGGATGGTGGGAGCTGGTGGGTACATTTTGAATTTGGGAATATGGCTCAAAACGGCTGCTTGCGGAGCTTGCACATTCACCAAATGAACACCAGCATAATTAGTTTCAGAGGTATTACAGCACCCACCCCCCAATGCATTACCTTTGGTTATCTTTGTCCAGCTTGGGGGCCATTGGCATACTTCCAAACAAGCACAGAAATATATTTACCCATGGTTTCTGTGAGGAATAAAAATTCAACTCCAAGGATGTTGGAAAAACAAAACAAGTTTTATTAAAGCTTTTGCAAAAGCGGTGGAACTCTTGATAATGGCAAATCCCAGAGTCCACACTTGGATCAATTTTTGCATAGGTTTTTATACTCTGTCCCGTGCATCATGCCATATCCTTCCAAAGCAGTGGTTCTCAACCTGTGGGTCGGGACCCCATTTGGGGTCGAACGACCATTTCACAGGGGTCGCCAAACAACGCAGTCCGCCATTTTTTCCCCCTTTTCCTTAGCTGTGCTATTCCCTTTTATTCTATTGGCTTTTGAAAGCCAATAGAATAGACTCTCTTGAATAGAGTCTAATTCTATTGGCTTTCAAAAGCCAATAGGAATTGTCCAGGCTGTCTCTGCCTGCTGAGCCCGCCAAAAGTCCCATTCTGCAAATGGTGCTGCACCAGTTGAGTAGTCCTCGACTTACGACCGGTTGAATAGTCCTCGACCAGTTGGGGGTCACGGCATTAAAAAGGTTGAGAACTACTGTTCCAAAGAGACCTCAGTTGATAGGCCCACCCAGTCACTTAGCAATCATTACAATTACCAGACCCTCCAATTATTAGATCAAATGCCCCTTTTGTTCCTGTCTTATCTTCACTCCCTTTTCTGTGACATAATTTGTAACATCCTGATAACTCCGGGGTATAGCCCTATCTACAAGATGAATTGTTACCCAAACTGGATAATTGCAATTATAAAAGATTTATGTCTTTATCTGTAAGAATGCTTGCTTTGCATCTAGAAGCTATGTGTGTAACAGAGTTCATGCTTTGGTTAAACATGGCTGCGCTTTGGTCCATAGTTATACTTTAAAATACTTTCTCTAAGCAGTTTTTATAAAGAATAAGCCTTATATAAATTGAATAATATGTTATTCATAAGCTATATGCTATTCTACAATAGTGTGCACTATTCTAAAAGTATACTTTAAGTCAGTATATATAGTTTCTCTCTATTCCTTCAGCTTATTATATCTCCTTTCCTAAAAGTATCTTAGCTAAGTGCCTCTATATGCCTATTCCTTTAACAGAAATTGAAAATTACAACATGTACATTTCTTGTGCACCTCACATTTCCATCTCAAAATAAGATTATGTCTATTTAAAGTTTACAGGTATCTGTGAGCTCTACAGCTGTTGAGGTGTGTTGGGTGTTTTCCTACTTTAATTAAAAATTAAACCAAGTTTTCCTATTTTAATTTTTAAAGCTTTACAGTGTAAAAATTCACTCAAGATAGAACTCTTAAGTGAAGAGGGGTATTTCTGGATACATTGGCATCATTAGGTGCCACTTTCTAGCACTGAAAATATCAGTGGGAGTTTGGCAACAGCCACAGCTGTTGTGATATCATTCATTCTCCAATGCATGCATCCACCCACCAGCACATGCATGCATGCACACCAATCTGAAGTCCTTCAACTATATTTGCCATGATCAATCCTATAATTTTAAATCTTCCATGAAGCACTTCAGGTGCAAGGGCAAAACAGGGTTTCCTATGTTCAATTCCTTAATGTAGCAGCATGTGGTAAAAGGAATTCAGACAAGTGCTTTATGGGTACTCTTATAGCCACTGTATTTGCCAATCTCAACAATTATAAGATGTTGAGGCTTCATCTCCCAGAATTTCCCAGCCAGTAGAGGAACAATACCCTGCTGCAGAGGATGGCAGTGCTGAGTCCTGTGTATTAGCAAATATCAATAAAGAGATACCATGATAAGGTTCTCCTTTACTATCAGTTCTGATAGCTGCTATCAAAAGAAGAGAGATAAATTGTTTCTAATTTGATTTATCAGAATATACTCAGGTCAAAGGAAGGATGATTATACTGCCAGTTGTTGACATTACTTTTTTTCTATCATCCTTTGTTCATGAGAGCATTTTAATCCAGATAATACAGTATAACAGAGCTCTGCAATTCGTACAATGATCTCCTGAGTTCTTACAATAGGATAAGATTGAGTTCTGGCTGTAGGGAATTATCACTTTCCCGAGATAAGCCAAATGATGCTGCTTAATAGTACTGTACTAAAAACAATCTTTACACTAAAAACCTCTTATAACTAAGCCAATATAGCTAGATTGTAAAATAATACAACTTGCAACATTATATCATGTAGGTTTACTAGAAATATATCCCACAGGTTTCAGTGAAATTTACTGTGCAATCTTACATATTACTATTACAATATTTACTAAATCCAATGGGGCTTACTTCCAGTTAAGTGTGCCTAAAAGCCTTCCCCTGCTTGCTGCTCTCCAATTGTGTTGTACTGCAACTACAGTTATTCTCTAATAGCATGGCCAATTGATGGCCATTACCTCTGGAGATCATTAATCTTGATGAAATCTGCTATACAAGTAGTCGTAGATCAGGGGTCTTCAAACATGGCCCTTTTATGACTTGTGAATTTCAACTCCTAGAATTCCTCAGCCAGCATGCCTGGCTGAGGAATTCTGGGAGTTGAAGTCCAAAAGTCATAAAAGAGCCATGTTTGAAGACCCCTGTCGTAGAGTTATGAGAGTTTATTTAGTGACCATTCAATGGCACAGAAAAATGTGACTTATGACTGTTTTTCATAGTTATGACCTTTGCAGCATCCCCATGATCATGTGATCAAAATTCAAATGCTTGTCAACTGACTCATATTTATGACAATTGCAGTGTCCTGGGGTCATGTGTGATCACCTTTTGTGACCTTATGACAAGCAAAGTCAATGGGGAAGCCAGATTCACTTAACAACCGGGTTACTAATTTATCAACTGCAGTGATTCACTTAACAACTGTGGCCAGAAAAGTCATAAAATGGGGCAAAACTCACTTAACATGTCTCGTTTAACAGCATAAAGTTTGGGCTCAGTTGTGGTCGTACGTCAAGGACTACCTCTATTGGTCTGTTCATAAAGAGTTTAGGTTTAAATACATTACATAGAAAATCATCAGCCACCACCACCTGGTTGAAACAGAAGTAGCAGGGTAGGGTTAGGGTTAGCTTTTACTTCTCAGAAAAGAGTATTAAGGGAAAATGATTTTCAGTGGAGAAGTGATGCTTTTGTGAACAGACATTCTTCATTACCATTGAGGCAACTTTGAATGGACGTTTTGTATTTTGATGTGAGAAATCTGAATCGTTTGCATTTTCATCAGATTTTTAAATTGGATACATTTACTCTTCCATGGCAATGTCCTAGGACAGGGGTAGGCAACCTTGGCTCTTTTATGACTCATGGACTTCAACTCCCAGAATTCCTGAGCCAGCATAGCTGGCTCAGGAATTCTGGGAGTTGAAGTCCATGAGTCATAAAAGAGCCAAGGTTGCCTACCCTGTCCTAGGACCTAGGTCAGGGGTGTCAAACTGCCGACCCATGGGCCGGACACGTCACGAGGAAACTACGCCCACCCCATTGCTGGCAATGGGGAAAAAGCTCCAATACGCCATGTGATGTCACATGACGTCGCAAGTTTGACATGTCTGACCTAGGTCCTCCCCCAAATTACTTGCATAGAGCATTAATAACCCTGTATAACGGTGAAGCATTTCCTTTTGTCCTGAAGAGATTAACAAAAGAATAACCAAAAGGACCATATATTACTGGTTAGAATCCTGTTTGCAGTCTGCTATTTTAACACATTTTATTATTTATTATTCACTAGCTTTTGATCCCTTAGTACTGCTTTTCTTTTTGCTTTAATACTTATTCATATGAGGGTAATAATGCTGACATCCCCTGTTGCCTGGCACTTTGGGTTGGTTTAGGTTTAGGTTGATCCAGCACAAGAATAGGCTAATGACCCATTTCTCAAGGGAAGATGTTCACGACATTTTATCATCATGGTGATGCTAGGTGATGCTAAACAATGTTTTTCAAAAATGACCCTTCGATTCAAATGCTGCTTTACATATTTCTACCTAACTAAGCTCTGCTGTTTCTTAGAATACAATCATACCTGAGATAGCCCATTGGAAAGGCATTCTCTGCCCATTCTTTGCCATGTAACACCAAAAATAATGTTTTCTGACTTGTGCTGGCTCAAGCAATGCTATCCAGCTTGCATGTTGCCCTTTATTTCATAGTAGATACACTCTTTCACTCTAGTTGGCTACTGTGTACTGTGACAAGAATGTCCTCTCTAATTATTCTTCCCCCCCCCCCAACATTTTAGCAATACACTAGGAGTAAATCTTTCCATTACTTTTTATCTGCTTGATCTACTTAGTACAGGGGGAAAATACTATGTTTTCCCATACCCGGAATACCATCTCACAACCTTCACAGTTGAAGACAAACTGATTTTATCCAGGTGCTTTGATTATTGTTTTCAGAGACAGAAATGGGAAGGAACTTAATCATAAAAGAAAAAAAAAGGTGGGATCTATGTCTGGAGATTGACAATACGATGGTTATAATTGGGCAACACTTGCCAATTCTGAGAATATTCATACATCTTATATTTATTTTGAAAAAAAGAGAGCAAAGCTTCAGAGACAGCTCCAGTGCCCTAAAATGAGGTTCTGATATAGGTTAATGGAGTTTCTAGAAAAAACAGTATTAAGGTTTTACAAATGAAATGGCAACAAATTGAATAGTGATTTTTTTTAATAGCAAGCATGCTGGCTGTTGGATAATTTCTACAAAGAGAAATCAGAACTCGGTTTCACCATCTGCCCAGTGGGAAAACATGCCTCTTCACTGGTAATGTGTAAGGTGAGGTGGCATCCTTTTGGTTTTTTCCCCAAGAGATGCAAGTGTCAACAACGTGCTGGTACGGCTACCTAACCAACAACACTAGTAGTTTTTAAGATGGGAATTCTTCCTGAAAGTCAGTCTCTGAAGTTTACAATCCATGTCAATCATAAAAGATTCTGCTACTCAAATTTATGGAAAGAAAAGATTAAGCTTATTTAATATTTTTACCTGAACTATTAGAATAGTGCTCAGTTTTGAAAGGTAACCAAGAAATGTAAGCATTAATACAATTTGAAGGAATAAGAATGAACATGAATTCTCCAATATGTGCTGCATTGTTTTCCTTAGTGGGTAGCATTTAATTTGTCACAAAGGCTATGTAATGTTCCCTGAAAACTCCACAGTTAGCGCTGTTCTCAAAATAATCCAAATAGAAACTTCTCAATAAGGATATGGGACTGGATGCCAGAATGCAGCTCTTAAAAATTAATAGTTCCCAAAAAGAACATGATACTGATATCACAGAAAGCGTGCTTTAAACGTATGATATGCCATGGAAAGCGGGGCAGATGTCAAAGGTAAACAGAGCCAGCATAGAGGGTTATTTTAGTGCTGGGTGGAAATTTGCAAATGGCACTGTAATAAAATACAGTTAAAAGCCATAGAATAGTATATTCAAAATGGATAGACTCATCCATCATAGTTCCAATCTAAAGTAATAGTCATCGGTTTCCCATCATGCTTGTATAATTATATATTATGAATAATTAGTAAATGTGCTTGTATGCTAACTTGAAGAAAATACTTTTCTTGCATATAAAATAAAGTACAGTATATCTAAGGACGGGAAATACCTCTGTGAAAGCAAAGCAGATCATAGAAGGAAGTTTGCTTAAATACTGTATAGCAAATGTCTTAATAGTACAGGAACGCTTACTGGCACTAAACATTCTGATTATCCAGTCCCAGTTTATAGCATCACTCAAGCTAACATTAACAAAGGCAGGCTTTTTATCACCATAGTGTGCTGGGTGATGCTAAACAATATTCGTGCAAAAATGGCCCTTCAGTTCAAATGCTGCTTTGCACATTTTTCCCTTGCTAGGTTTTACCGTTTCTTAAAATATGAATATACCTTGAGATGTCTCAGTGACACGAATACATACAACAAATTGTACTGCCTAAGAATACCTAATCATGCTACGGTGTGTTTGACTCTTTGAAGTTCCTCCCTTAGCCTTGATGAGTGTACAAATTGTTCGTTGCCTTTAAGTTCAGATTTTATCTTGGAGAACATAGTCATGGGCAAAATTCAACATTAATTGTCCAGGTCACAATATTCATACAACTTTTTCATGTACTTACTTAGCTTATTTTCTCTACAAAGATTGGCTTTTCAAAATTAATTTATTTTCTGTGTATATAGTAAAGATAGGGTAAGAAGAGAGGAAAAGAATAAGGGCTAGGAAAGGACAGGAAACATTGCGGAGACAAAATCTGAAACTCTCTCCCAGGCATTAAGTAGGTTTACATTCCTTGCAGATGTGCCAATAGAGCAGGCACATACTTATAAATATCTTGGAGTGCAATTCTAGCTTTCTTATCATGGTGCATACATTTATTAGGCAAGTGTGGCTATTGTACTATTCTCTTAAGATTCCCTTATTCAAAGGAGGCACATTTTATTCTTGCATCTTGCTTTTTCTTAAGTAATTTCTCAGCTTCTTTATGGAGGTTCAATTAGCATGTTTATAAAGTTTAATGTCTTGGAAGCTATCTAGTTTATAAGACCAATACTTGCAGTTCCAAGATGCATCAATAGTGCTGTTTAACAGTTATAGGCAGGTTTGGTTTTTGTGGATGCCAGAGCCTGGTTCTGTCTCCTTGTTTTCTGTTGAAATTGATTTTCTTATCCTGTAGGTCTGGTTCCAGTGGTGCTCTAAAAAATTATTTTAAATCAGCCTGGCTAGCAAAAACTAATAGCAAACTCTAGTCCTCAGGACTCTTTGTAAAGTCTCTGTCCATTAATATTTAAAAATGCCAGCAGTCATCTTAAACAACATATTTGAGACATTGATTTTCAAACCAGTTTAAGTCTAGTATCCCACTCTATAGTTAATGTATTCCTTTCAAATGTGCATGTGCCGTCATCTTATCTCTTTTCAATTCTAATTCTGAAATTTCATTGAGCTTTTTACCTTGGCCAGGTTGATTTCACTACTCTCTGCAGTCTTGGGTAGTGGTGGGGTGTATAAAAACATCCCTTTTCAGCAATGCTTATACCCATGTGGAGATAGCTCTGTGGAATCTGTGCTTCTCTGTTGCTTTTTACATAGAGAATCTAGGAAGACATACATTCATCTCATTTTAAGGAACTACCGTACCATGGTAGAGAGCACGATGTCTCTCTGGTCACTGTTTCTAACTGACTAGGATCATGCTATATCTTTCTAGCCTGGCTTTGTGCTACCATTCGTTGTATCTATCCTACCTAAGATTGAAGTTTAGCACAAATTTCGATGATTGCCACTGCCATCTGTAGTACAGCTATTATAATTGTCTTATGTACATTTCATTTTATTTTTTTAAAGTTTTATCAATAACGACAGGTTTACGTTTTTTTATTGTTGTGTTCTCTGGCCCAAAGGTCATAATAAAAGTTTGACAGAATCCAGATTCTAGATGGTATGTAGGATAATAATAAAGTTGCCAGTTGACTGGGACTTGGACTATCCCCCTTGATGGTAGGCCTTCCATATGCGAGCTGTGCCATCCAGTGAAACTGACACATACTGCAGAAAATCAAAGAAGAAAGTAAGTTGGGAGTAGCAACGGCAACACTCTATACAAGGCTCCAAGAACTGGATAAAATATAGTGATTGCTCAGAGGCCTCGTCTCATGAGTTTTCCGACTGTATTGGTCTCCCATCCAATTGTAGGCCAAAGACTGATCTCAGCCCAAATTCCAATCAGCCATACTTCAAGGATATGGCCTTCCTACCTGCTTCATTTCTGGGACATGGATGAGACCCTTGATAGAATCTTGATGTCCTGTGTAACTTTGCACTAGTGCTCCAGAGTTTGGGTCATAAATCCTGCAAAAATAAAAAGACAGAGTTACAAACCTATCCAAGGATAAGCTATCCTTTTTTGTTTCCGCTTCCCTTACTACCAAATGCCTTACTCTGTGGCTACCTGATAGTATCATGGTCTCCTGCAATGATACATCCATTGATCTGGTCAATGCAAATACAAGTGATTCTTCTAGGGGCTTTCATGTCTCGCACACAACATCCACCATCTTCACTCTAAGTGAACCAGATTTAAAAAAAAAAAAAACACTTCCACCATCAAGGAAGACACTCTGTTCCCCAGCTTCAGCGATATACCGCACTATACAAATATAACTTTTGAAATTCTATTCTGACCTTTAATTCTCTAAGAATCATCATGCAGAACTATTTGTGTTTGATTAGAAAATCATCATACTGTAGGTCTGTAAGGGCTAATAAATTTTCCTATTGTCTACCTATCACTACACTTAACATGAAATAAGGAATGAAGTTACTTACCCAGAGTTGAATGGTGCCATCTTCAGCACCAGTTACCCATTTGTTTTGTTGTGGGTGCCATGCCAGGGCTAGGACTGTGGTTTTGTGCTCACAGAGTTCAGCCAGGAGCTCCAGATCAGCACAATGAAAATTGAAAGCACAGATGAAAACTCCAGTGCTGGTAGAGAAGGCAAATTCCCTCCTTTCAGGAGCAGGGGGATATAGGCTGTGAATAGCAGGGATAACAGAACCTTGGTAAACTTAGATTATTAGTGATAAAAAATCTCTCTGGCACAGAGGTGGGCAATGATAGCAACTTTATGACCAATGGACTTCAACTCCCAGAATTCTTGAGCCAGCCATACAGGGACTTGTACTTCTTATGTTTGTTACTGTCCATTTTGCCATGAAAGATGCTTTTACAGTCCTCCTTTCATGCATCCAAGATGACATTCTTCTCTAAGAGCACATTGATGCTGGGTTTTTTTTAAAAATCAAATTAATGCAGAAAGGTTTACCCACCTATTTTGGGAACAGGCCACATCCAGGATAGGCTCGTTATCCCCAGGCAGATTGGAGAAGGTGTTTTGAAAGGAGCGCTTTTGAAGATTCCAGAGGCACAGCCTTCCATCCCATCCCCCACTGAGCTGCAATGAAAGGAGGCCAGGTGAGAACTTGCTTCTCAGGGCTCTGCTCCCTTTACTCCTCTCTCTCTCTCTCTCCCCCCCCCTCCTTTCATACCTTCGTTCCTTGAAGACTGTCTCTGCTCCCACTCTCTCCCTTCTCACCAAATGAAGAGATTGCTGGAAAGAGTCTTAGAGGGTTATGGGTCCCACTTTACAGAGAACACAATGCTTGCTTTGTGGGGATTCTTTATGAAAAGGGTAGTGCAGGGCTAGTCTGCCCCCTGTGGTGCACCTCTGGATAGCACGCAAGAGTGAACCGAACAGATCAGCAGTCTTGGGCAGCCAAACAACTACTCTGCATTAACACTCTACTTTCCTGGCTAATGTACCATCACCATATACGAAATAACTAATGGAAAGGTATTTAGTTCAAGGCCATTTTAAGGTCGAAGAGCCATCAAATGGGAGACCAGCAGGAAATTTTATAGTGAACAGACCCAGTCACCCAAACTGAGTCTGGTATACAAGTTACTACAGTAACTTGTATACCAGACCCAGACACCCAAACAGTTTTTTCTGATATGGTACACTTAAAGGATACAAAGTATTAATTTCATTTAGTGTACAAATTGTATATAAGTTTATATAATATTCTCTTTTCACGGGTCATATATAAGCACCTACCCTATATAATCTTTCCCCAGCCATTCACTTACCAGATAAGGGATGTGAATGCCATTCATCTCATTTGTCACTAGGGTAAGTGCTGTAATCATGCCGGTGTGTCCACACAATACTATTCTGCATGTGAGGTCTATTTAAGGTAATGATATGGGAGACAGCAATTGGATGGAAAAGAGAAAGGAGAGATCACTCCACCATGATGAAACTGAACTGATATATTATTATAACAAATATTAATTCGATTTATATTCTATTTTTCCACCCACAGGCCCTTTTAAAATACAGAAACATTAGCCTGGCAGTGACAACCTGCTAAATTCATTTGCCAAGATAAACATAAGGTAGACCCCAAAGGAGAGAAGGGAAGATTTCTCAAAGTTGCATATGAAAGAAAATTACAGTGCTATATATTTGTAGTATGTTGTACGGTAGTTCTTTTGTCTCATTAGATCCACTGTCATATAATTTAGTCACTAGATCAGTTTGATCAGTCTAACAAAAAAAACCCAACAACAATAAGTTCTTCTAGAGGCCCTGTGTTCTTGGTTTTCTTTGTTCATGTCTCCTGGTTTATTCTTCACCCTGTTTCAAAATGGCTCAGACAATTGATAACAGCCCACTTTTTACAAGGCCTCAGTGTCTTCCACTAAAGAAAAATGCCCTTGAACAGCAATAGATCATTTGGGATGTCTCTGAAATTTCTATCCCATTCTGAACGGGATATTTTTACCTGAGATACAGCTACTTGAAGGTTCACAGACCATCTCACTTTGGGCACAACCTTTTGCTAGTGTTTTGGACTCTTGATCCAATGCAGACATATTTTGCTACAGCACAGAGAAAAATATGAAATAGTAAATAAAATGTTTCTGAATCCTGTTTTGCAATAAATCTTCCACCTGGATTTTGTTGTTATGCACCCATGAGTTTATTTCAGCTTTCACCAACCTTACGATTACCAGATTTGTTGGACTTAAAGTCCTACAGTTCTTCGTTACTATGGCAGCATTTCTATAATAACTAGGAAGTGTAGGAATTAAAATCTAAGTAAGGAGATTATTAAGTTTATCGAGTTAGGGAAGGCTTGTCAGTTCCATAAATGTTAAAGTAAGCAGCCTGTGGTCCCTGGGAGAGAGTTCAAGGTACTAGTTGGGCCACATATTCCTCTGATTACCGTCCCATTGTTCAGAGTTAACTATTTCCCCCCCTAAAGCTATATGTCTTTTCTGTCTAAGTAATCTCCATATTTAGACTTCAATTCCGACACTTCCTAATTATCATAGAAATGCTGCCATAGTAACTTTTAAGTCCAACAGCTTTCCATTGTAGGAAAGTAAAGGTTATTACTCTTTGAAGATGACCTACAAAGTGATTTTGACTGCCTTCCATCCAGTCATAGGAAGACGAGTTTGCTCTTACCTGGGCAGGGGGCTCAGTACCTGGGATGAAGGTCTCAAATTCCCAGAGATAAATATTCCCGTTGATTGCTGACATCACTAGAATATCCAGCTGTTCGACAAAGATGACCCTATCAAGGCCAGAGTTTGGTTATCAAGATTGCTCTAAATCAGCATTCAAGTTCTGATTTGAAAACCCAAACCCAACATTTCCCTCCTTTTTCTTTTACCCCAGCTAAGAAAGGTGTCTTTAAAGGTCCTTGGCAAATGTCACCAGGTTTTAAGCTACTTGCTTTTAAGTAGCAAGCAATAACTCTATCTAATTCTTAGTTAGTTTTGCTATAATGTCCTGACTACAGTAACATGTATCCAGAGAGACCACAACCTGATATTTACCTAGTGAACCCTATTTTTTCTTTTCCTATGTCTTTGGCTGTGATCAGGGATCTACTGTAACAACTTCGGAGCCTACTGCAAGTCCTCATTTTTTGTGCAGAATATGGACAAGGTTCCAATTCTTTCTGATGACCTTTCTCTATCTGATCAGCCAAAGGTCCTCGTCGCTCCAAGTGGCCTTTGTCTATATGGAAGGACTCCCTGCTGAATGAAACAGACACACAATCCGTGTTTACATAATGTACTTAATCAGATTCTTAAAAAATAACCAGCAGATGCATTTGTACAACCTGCTAAATTGGATTAGCATTAGTGGTAGATGTTTAATGCCTTAGCATGATGTGTGAACCCAACTATTCAGTTAATTTATATAGCAGTCAACAAATCTGCAAACCCACAAAATAGATTAATTCAGTAACAAGTTATTGTGTGAACACAGCCACAAGACAGGAAAGACCAGGACATTGCGGTGGAGCTGGGCGATAGGTGTGAGGCTGAATTGCTGTATGACTGGAGCAGGTAGAACATGAAGAGAGGAGACAGGAAAGAGGATGCATAAGACAAGCAGAGCTAGCTTGTCTGTGAGCATATACTTTTTATAAGTACAAATGAATGAGGCAGACTGATCTAAGTGAGAGATGGGAGTGAGGTACTTTGCAGATACTTTTCATGAACAAGTGCTCTTGAAGATAATGATCTAAGATAGAATGTTTAGCAATTAAGCTACATAAATCTGGAAATTAGCAAAAACACAGATTAATATGCTAAACATCTTATCAGCAAGGACTATGTTTCCTCTTCTTAGCAGCAGAAGCTTGCAGGTTTCAGCATATAACTAGTTATATCACTAATATTCCATTACTGGACAATGGAAATCTCTGAACAAATTATATCAGTGCCTAAATGTAGTGATAAACCTTTACCTGTAAATGAAGGGAGATATGTAGCTTCTTTCCCATTTTTGCAACATTCCATTGGTGTCCCCACTGAAGAGCAAAATGGGCTCCTTTTTGGCTAATAAAGATAATGAAAAGGTGAACCAAAAGTAATTTGGACTTGATAAACCAGACCAAGAGTTTACTGCTGAACAGTTGATATAAAGATTAGCCCAAATACTAAGTAGCTAGCTTGACTCTTTAGGGAGGTTATTTTGGCTATGAGTTCTTGCATCTGATAAAGCTTATACTCCCTGATCTATTGCAGGCTGAGGCTGAGCAGATAAGAATTATGCCTGGCTACTTACCATAAGCAAGACACTCCAGGGAGTGTTTGCAAGGCAGCAGCGTTAGACATCCCAACTCACTGTAGCGCCAGATCACAACTTGCTGTGGTTTTGCTATGCCTCGAAGGAGAAGAGAACAACATTTTATGTGTTTTACCTAAAATAATCTTTTCGGGATTGCTTAAGGTTACTTGGATTACTCTAAAAGGTCTTACCATCCACCAGATTATATAATACCTTGAGAAAGAGAAAGGATGTGGCTGGAAATGTTCTACTATACTTAAAAAAAATCAATTGAATTTATATTCCCGCAGAACAGAAACCTCTTATTGAAAAAAATATCGAAAGTGGGATTTGTTGATGTGCCAAATTTATCCCTGCAAAGCAAGTGAATTGAGGGATACTCATTCAGCTGGAACAGAGAAATTAGCCTGGAATTGCAGTGCCAACACTTGAATATCATTCCTAAACTGAGACTCAGTTCTCGAATCATGGTTCAACTTAGTTGCCTCGGCTTGTGAGAAAATCGTATCTTCTCCAAGTTAATTTCTGCTAAATTAATTGATGGTGTGACTTTATATTCTTCTTGCCTTTCCTCCATTATAGAAGTATGCATGTTGCTCCTTCATACTATCCTCTCATTAAATCCTATAAAGTAACTATAGAGACTATTAGGGCTGAGAAATAGGGACAGATTCAAGATCATCAAACATTATTGCTGAATGGCTTGAATTAGATCTCCAGCAGTTTTCATACAATACTCTAACCCAGGGGTAGGCAACCTTGGCTCTTTTATGACGTGCCTGGCTCAGGAATTCTGGGAATTGAAGTCCACGAGTCATGAAAGAGCCAAGGTTGCCTACCCCTGCTCTAACCTAACTCTCTGTAACTTGATGCACTCTAGGTCTAATGAAGCTGTAACTCCCAGAATACCCAGCCAGCTTGTCTGTGCTCACAAGGAATACTGGGAGATGTATTTCTAGCTAGTACATCGGGAATGTGTCAGATTAAGGTGAACTGGTTTTCTCATTACAAGTCTTCCTTGACTCTTTTACAAATATAATTTTATGTTAAGAACATGAAACGATTGGTTTATAGCAGGGGTCTCCAAACCTGGCAACTTTAAGACTTGTAGACTTCGACTCCCAGAACTCCCCCAGTCAGCATGGCTGGTTGAGGAATTCTGGGATTTGAAGTCCACAGGTCTTACAGTGGCTAAATTTGGAGACCCCTGGCTTATAAGATGTGAAGACGGAATCCATGGTAAGAGGTTTGGAAGGCCAGATGAGATTTTGACTTGTAGAGGTGAGAGACAAGCAAAGGTCATGTGCAGAACACTGCCCCTCCAAAGCTTGTGTTTCTCTTCTCTCTGCATCTATCTCCCCCCCCTTCACATCACCATGGTGATGTGAAAGTGCGCAGGTCTGTGTGACCTTGCTTGCCTGTCTGATAACAGTTAGCTCGCATCAATAAGATGTTATTAACTATTCCCTGTTTCTGGCCTCTGGCTTCTATATTCTTGAGGATTGGTTGGGAGTTTAACCAATGAAATGCTATTGCCATGTAGAAACTTTTGCTTCTTGTGATCTCTATATAAACAATAAAAAGCTGTGTACCAGCGGCCATTTTTTGCACCCTGCAATGACTGAGCACTGATTACTATACTGACTTGCAAATCTGAGGGAAGAGGTATCAGTGCTTTGCTGGGGTACTCACCAATCACATGCTTTGAGTCTGGCAGGCTGAGGAGCTGCTGGAGAACCAGCTCATCCTTCTGATTGCCCTGGAATGTGGATATGAACTGTGAAACCTGAAAGAGAGATTGGCTATTTAATATGGGTTTTTCCTTCCTTTTGCTATTTATGGGTAGGCAAAACCTTTTTATCTGTGAGGAAATGAAAAAGATAAATTTGTGGCACTGCTCTGAAAAGCGCTTGTCAAACGAAGTTGCACAGCTACAGAGAAGAACTCCAGAAAATAAACAATATTCTTGAATGGTAACTTTTTATTTTAAAAATATGAGCTTTCAACATATCTTGGAGCAACTGGAAGATCCCCAAAAACAATGCAAGGAATCCAAGTAGCCTTTGAAACAGCGACTCAATAGAAACAACGAATGAAAAACACTGTCCAAATTAATGGAAAGAAATGTCAGCTAAGCCATAGCTTAGGCAGCTAGAATTTAATTTTAATTATATCTGCTATGATATTTGAAAGAGCATCATAATGTTTCAATATAAAATAGTTCTATGCAATCTTTATGTCATTTACATGGTACCATTAATCTGGCAATCTGGGTCTAAGCTCTCAAAAGGCAAGGAACACACAAGAAACATCCTTCACAAACAGTAAGATGAGGTCATTAATGTGAAGGGAATTTGCTGCCTAAGAATGGACAAGGATGAAATGTTGCCCCCTCACAGAAAAATCCTCCCTGGTGAACAACTACTAAGAAAAGAAGAAGCTGCCTTATACTGGATCAGAAGTCAAGATTCAGACAGCAGGTCTTTAAAACATCTAATACTCAACATCCATTTGGTATGGCTAGAATTTATATTGGGAGTCTCCTGTATGCAATGCAACATACAGCAAATGACCTCTGCTCTCAGGAGATCCCTTATTGATACTAACCAATAAGTTTAAGAAGGATCTGTAGGTTCCTCCAGCTCAGAATCCTGCAGCCTGGCAAATCCAAAATATTTGTAAATGGGTTCCAGATTGGTAGACGGTTTTTGCCTAATAGATATTTAGATTCGTCTCATATACTTTCACCCCATGAATTTAACAAAACATTTGGGAAGTATTTGTACATCCCCCAGATTTGGGCGACTATTGTTTTATGTTATAAATATGAGTTCTGAAAGCAAAATGGCCAAGTTTAGTTTACAAAATCTTTCTGTGTGGGAAGGTACTGTGGCTGGCCACTTTTACAGAAAGGTTTTGAACTGATTGGAAAGCAGCTCAAGAGTGGTGGGGGTGAGCACCACTAATTCGTTTCCTGTTTGGTTGCAGCGTAGCTAGAATGGCCATGTCTACATAGCAGAGAAATCTTGCCTCACTTCTCTTACCCGCTCTACAGATTCAAGGCCTCTAAGGAAATGTAAGCTTAAGGGCTTGGCAATTCTTCTCAAGGGGGCAAGACATAACAAACAGGGTTGAAATCTCATCAAGAGATATGTCATTTCCTCTTTGCTTTGCTGTGAAGGAGCCAGCACTCACACAGTGGGGTGATGGAGGTTTTGTTTTGATTTATAAAGAATCAGGATTTTTGTTACTCTGCTTCACTTGGGGCAGAGATATTTGCCCTTTGTTCTCAGCCCTTCATTTATTGTACATGGCAGCAACTAGTGCAGACATGTCAAACACAAGGCCCGGGGGCCGGATGAGGCCCGTGAAGTGGTTTCATGTGGCCCGCAAAGCCATCCTGGAAACAGTGAGGGAACGGCCCCTGCTGCCTTGGCCCTGGCCGGCCGGGAGCCAATGTACAATTTTGTGGTGGCCATCTATGTTGAAACGCATTCAGTCTTAGCTCCACAAGGCCGTCCAGAAACAGTGAGGAACCAGCCCCTGCCGCATTGGTCCCGCCCCCTGGGTGCATGCTGGGGAAGTGTCATCCTTTGTGAGGAATGAAGAAATGGACCATGCCTTGGTGCTTGCCCTGATCCCACCCCTTTCTGCCAGAGACCCTCAGATCTGTCCCACTCCTGCCCAGGCCCCCACAGGCACCCTTGACGCGAACGATGTAGAGCTGGCCATGCCCACTCCATCCACGCCCACCCAGTAGGCTGCACCCACCCTGGCCACACCCACCCGGCCCCCCAAGGGTAACCACAATGCTGATGCGGCCCTCAATGAAATTGAGTTTGACACCCCTGAACTAGTGACTTCAAAAACAACCCTAAATTGAAATGGTGTGGGAGGTTCACAGTTGCCCTTCATTCTTTTTTCCTATTAACTGTAATATCAAGCATTGCCAGTAGAGGGCTCCTTATAATTACAAATCCATTCAACAGAGTCTGAGTTACTGCTGATAGGCAAAATTGCGTCAAATACTCTTGTGTCACTCACTATTTCTCCAGACTGCGGCTCATAAAGGGTGGGCTGGGAAGTGCCATTAGCAATCCAAATGACGCCAATAGGTGCTACATAGCACAGTCCAGTTATGTTACTGATGAAGGGGCCGAGGCGCTGGATCAACTTGCCATCCTGGGACCAGATGCCAACCGTCTGGTCAAAGGAGCCTGAAAGCACCCTGCAAATGAATTCCCAGGTCAGTGTTTCAAAAAAGCGGGAGATCACAGTGAATGGAGGGACAGTGGACTTTTCCAGCAGCTAGTTAATACCTCACACTCAACAAATGCTGTATTTCCAATACGTTGGAATGAGGGGAGAATCCTTTTCCATCAACAGTTCTCAGTTTGTATCTTTCAGTTGTTTTCTCCCTGCCAGCAGTTTTATTTAAACCCTGAATTGTCCACTTCCTCTTTGTGGTAAATACCTTCCTTCCCCAAACCTCTACCTCTTTCATTTGTTATAGTCCAACCATGACAACACAATTCAGAGGAAAAGACACCTCTTTCTGCCTGCACCTTCACAACAACAGGGGCAAAGTTCCTATTAGAAGCATGTACATACGTAGAAGGATGAAAAAAAAAAAGGCCATATGCAAAACACCTTCATCTAGCTTATACCTTGTGGTTTCTTGCTGGCGCACCAGAATCAAATGGGTGATGGCTGCATTATGGGCACGTGAGATGCACTGCTTCTTTGTCAGGCCTTTTCTGCCTGAGGTCTGGTAAGTGTCAAAGATCAGTAGTTTTTTGTCATACCTGGAATTGGTAGGAAGGAATGATCAATTGAAGATGAACTTGATTTCAGTTGGCTTTGTTTAAATTTTTCAGCAGACAGCTCAAATCATACTAGTGAGCCTTATTGATAAAGGCCAAATAAGGTTTCTATTTTCAGAAAAGTGTTGCAATTCACATAATTGTCCTTCAGAGCAATCCAGTAGGCACAGGACTGCTTTTTTTGCAAAGCTATTCTGGGCTCCTTTTGATAAGTCTCTTCTTGTAACATCAGCAATGGGCATAGAATTTCAAATTACAAGGCAGCTACACTGACCTTCTCCAACATATCTGGTCCTATGACCCCCTATGATTGTTGAAGTGGTCACAGGAATTTGGGAAGAGTCCCATCTTAGAAATCTGGAGTTTTCCAAAATGTAGAAAACACATATACCAATGACAGTAAATATTATTGGCATCACAAAATATTTAGGTTCTGAACTTGCCTACAGGGGGAAAACTATCCCCACTTCCAAACTCACCCAGCGGTATAAATATGGTTATCAAGGCAGGTGATGCAGGACACAATGTCTTTGTGGGTCCATTCAGAAAAGCTTTGGGTTATGTTGACTATATGCCCAGATTCTCTTTTTTCATCCAAGGGGAAAACCATCAGGCGTCCTTTGCTCCCACAAAGAAGGAGATGCCGAGCCAGGCTGATTGCCAAGGTGAAGATGGGATAGCCCAACTGAAAAGAAAGAAGGGGGAGGTTTACTTAAAGAGCATAAAGTAGTGGTGGTGAACCTATGGCATGGGTGCCAGAGGCGGTACTCGGAGCCCTCTCTGTGGGCATACGTGCTGTTGCCCCAGCCTTGCCTCCCCCTGTGACCCCCTCCTCTCCAGCAGCCCCCCGAAGGAGAGTTGCCCTCGAGCATGGCCCACCCGGAGCAGCGCAGCCAAGGACATGGCAGCCAGGCAGCATAGACAAGACTCTGCCCTCACATCCCATCAAGCATTTGATGCTGCAAGGCGCAGGCAGAGGGTGTGGCCGCCATAGTGCTGTTGGGCTGCCTGGGCAATGTGTGGCGGGCCCTGGAGGCGATGAGTGGTCCTGTGGGCAGGCGGGGTGGGGGATGGGGGGCAGAGTGGGGGCGGGCAGGGGGAGTGGAGCAGGGGCGGGGCCAGTTTTTGGGCACTTGGTCTCTAAAAGCTTCGTCATCACTGACATAGAGACTAAGAAAGGCATCCCTGCCATAGCACAATCTAAACACAATTAATCTCAGTGGAAGGACCTGGGAGTTTTCAAAAACTGACCAATAGAAAACTTGAGTTCTGCAGGCAGACAAGACATGTTTACTCTGTTGAAGGAATAGCTCAGAGACAAAAAAAAGAAGTTTTTATAATCCTAATGGTTTCTAAATGCTTCCAAGGCAGATTTCTAAGATAATTTTAGTGCCCCAGAATCCTGAGGGTATCATTCTCAAGGGTGAGATACGCTTGAATGGCAAGTGCCTGACATAATCATTCTGTAACCTTATGATGTCATGTTTGCCATGAGCTGGGGATTATGGGAATTGCAGTGCATGGTGAATGTGACTGGATCATTGGTGACTGGATCATTGGTGAGCTCGAGGTTGGGGAAAGTTCTTGAACTCATGCAATCAATTCTGTGCAATAGCTTGTAATTTCAGAAAACGTATTACTGATCTTACTATGATTGGATTCCTAGTCCTAGGGTCTCATGAGATGCCACTCTTACCAGAATACGGTCAAGCACTGTACCACCTGGAGCCCAAACCAGCACAGAGCTGTCATTGGAGGCAGAGAAGAGGAGCCGTGCCTGTATCCAGGAAAGGAAGTGGGTGACCCAGCCGGCATGTTCTTTGGTGCACAAGGTCATGTGCCCACTTTCCATGTCCCACCATTTGATCACTCCATCTATAAGAGTAATAAAACTGACATGCCACTTATGTGGACAGGAGTTCAATTCAGGAAGAACCTGGAATTTTTATTTTTATATACATATAAATATATATTCCATCTATATGCATAGATGGAACAGAAAAGCAGTCTCTTGGTACATACAAATTTTGTTCTCTTTGGTGGATAGTAACATCTAATTTCTCTTAGGAAAAATTAGACCTGCTATACTGATGTTATTATCCACCATTCATACATAATTGGCCAGGGCATGACAGATGCAGGAAGTTGGCACAGGAGTGGAGTTAGATACAAATATTTAAAGTTAGCAACCAAGAAAAGATGTTCCTTCCCAGCATGGACTCACCTTCAAATCCAGTGAGACATTCCCGTCGAGCTGAATGGTAGCCAAGAGCTGTTATTGAACAGTGGTGACGTTCCTTTATTCGCAGGTGCTCTTGCATAGCCATATCTATAGGTGGAATGAAGGATGGTATGAAGAACAGGGATTAGAATGAGGTCACACATGCACATTCACCCTGGGATATTGTTTAATGTATCAGTCTCAGGTTTTTCAAATCAACAGCCATGCTCCTTCCAAAGGCAGAGTTGAGTTTAATATTGATAAGAGTGAGGGGTGGAAGAGGATTTTATTTTAGAAGGCCTATGAAGGCTGCATGAGGACAAGAGTGAGATGAGATGAGATGAGATTGTGTCTGTGTGTGTGTGTGTGTGTGTGTGTGTGTGTGTGTGTGTGAGAGAGAGAAAGAGAGACAGAGAGAGAGAGAGAATATTTTGCAGGGTTAACAAATGTGAAATAATTTTAACTTTAGATTGAATGTTGATATGTGCCGTACTGCTTTCCTACTGCATTGTATCTCAATCAGTGGAAAAGCGCATCAGTCTGATGCGAAGAGAGGGGAGATAAAACAAAACAGAGTGCTTCTAGCTGAGCCTTGAATGGCAGATAACAAAGCAGATGACAAAAAGATGGATGCAACTGTGCGGTGCAATCCAAGCAGTGCTAAGATGCCACCCAATCCTTTAAAACCACAGTATATGCAATCATTTGTGGAAGGATGGCTCTGCTAATCTGTAGCAGCCAGCAATGGGAAAGTGGCATCTCTTAAAACTTCAATCCATCTCAATAAATGACCAGGTAATGATTATCCATGTCTTGGAAAAAGGAAGTTCTCTTATCCTCCCAGCCTCTTTTCAACATTCTCTCAACACTGCAACTAACTATTGTATCACGAATGGTAATAAATCCCCCCGTTTTCTTTGGAAACATCCAAACATTCAACAACGAACAACGCTGCTGGCACAGGTTTTGCAAAACACACAAAAAAAACTTCAGCAAACATTTTAACCACTCTGTAGAAAGGGAATGCCAGGAAACAATTTTTTTTCTCCTGAAGAAAAAAGTTGCATTGCCGTTTTAAATGTAAATGTTAAATTGTAAATGTCAATTTTTGTGTACAGCAGGGCTTCTCAAACTTGTTCTTTCATTCCCCCAAACCGCTGATCAGAAAGTCCTCATTTAAATGTCTCTGTTGTGACGGAGTAATGGGTTCGTGTGTCCTTACCCAAAAGGAAACATTTCTGCCCAAGTTGGGGTAATTTACCCAAGGGTGGGAAGCACTAGTTTATTTACCACACAATTTCCCAGCTTCGCCTAAGATTCCTTGCAGTATGTCCTCCCATCTCGGTTCCCTAAGAATGACAGACGACCGTGATTCAACCGCCCTCCTGTAAGCCCCCCTCCTTTCTCCGAGACTTGCCCAGATATGCCTGGAGGATTTATCGCAGAGTTCTTGGCGTCTCAATCGGTGGCGGCGCCTGGGAACTCGGAGTTAGCTTCAAGTCTCGTTTACTTCCTCCGCCTGTCGCTATGGAAATGAAGTGAAGCGAGGGCGGGAAAAAGCTAATCCCAACACAGCAAATTGGAGTCGTGAGGATGCGATGTGCCCTCAACCGGTAGCCGTGGCTTGTCAGAACCAACCCGAATTTCCGCTCATTCCCTACTTTGTTCAGAGTAGTGGATGGAAAGAGTTGCATTTGCAGCCCTCTGGCTTGCGAAAGCATGCGTGTTTTTAAAAATTCTATAAGGCCTTTTTTTCAAGGAGTATTAGGGAGTTTCCACGTTTCTCCGATTTTTGTTTCTCACACCAATCCTTGCAAGCTAGGGAAGCTTGAGAGACAGTGATTAGACCGCATTCACCCAGCACTTTTGGGGCTCAGTGGGGATTAACCAACTTGGGTCTCCATATTTTAAGATACCGTATCTCTTCCCAATCTGAGTCACATATGTTGAGTTATAATTAACATTTCAACATTTTTGGGGAAATGCAAGGTTAAGGAAGTCACTCCAGCCAGCCTGTGCTCCACTCTTTTCCATTGAATCTTAGAGTTGGAAAGGGCCACTTAGATCACTTGAGCCCAACTCACAGCTCAGCACAGGAATCCAAAATTAAATCATACTAAAATGATTTCCTAATATTCAGTTCAGCTGGAATCTGCCTTCTAGTAATGTAAAACTGTTACATCATGTCCTGCTCTCTGCAATGTCAGGCAAATAATCTGTAATATTTATTTAATTATTACAATTTTTGGATCCTACCCAAATATGCACAACATACTTCCAGTGTTCTTAGTTTCTTCAGTCCTCCTCTGAGAGCTAAACATCCCCAGTTCTTCCAACTTTCTTTGTAGGACATAATTTCCAGTTCCCTGATCATCTTTGTTATTTTTCTCTGAATGTGGTCTTGAATGTCTTGAAAGATGTGATCAGAACTGGATTTCTGGACATTAAGGGAGAGTCTGGCTAATGCAGAATATTGTGTAACCGTTACTTCCTGTGATTGGGAAATTAACCTTCTAATGATGCAGTTGAAAATTTTGTTTGTCTTTTTAGTGGCGATGACAAATTGCTGACTCCTATTCAGAACAGCATTCACACTATTATGAAGTCTGATAACTGTGTTTATTTCTTTTTCTAAATGAACTTTGATTTTATGTCTGTTATTTCAGTTTGTTATTTTTAGCCTATGCTTTACCCAAAGTATATTTATCTTTTGTTTTTATCTTCTAAAGTATTATTGAAAGAAAAGTCTTCATCAGGGTCCAGTCCAAGCCAGGAATAAACAACATGGCAACCGCTTTAGAAAGAAGGTTGTAGTTTATTGAAGAGGAGAGCCAAACAGAAAGATGGCTCTGGAAGAAAAGAGTGAACACATGTAGTAGGGAGTGGGTTTTTATACTCTCTTGGGCTTTTGTTTGGAGTTGTTTCCCGTTCCTGTTTGAGGCTTTGTATTTCCTGTGTCATATACTTTGACCTGAGTCTGAATGTACCCCTTTGGCATCTGTGGGTTAATCCTATTATGTCCTGTCTTAGAGTTTGGGTGGGGTATGTAGATTTTAGGTGTCTTTGTCTTCCTAAGCTTCTAGCTGGAGGGCTCCAATCTTCCTGAATAGATTATTACATCTGCATTTCTACAGAGCTGGTTTCTGCTTGGGGGGGGGGAGACTATTAAGAAAAACTGGGCATGCTTTTCTGCCTCTTTAAGATCCTTTGAGGAAATATAATATTCTGCCCTTTTAATATTTCCTTCTGGGGGGGGGGCTGACTTCCCACAGTATTATTCTCCTATCTCTATATGTGTTGGAAATTCATCTCGGCCCATTTATAATTAGATTGGTAATTGCAAGATTATGAACAAATATCAAATATTTAGCTTAGGTCAAATATATATTATGTTCATAGTATTCTGACAAACTACTAAAGAAGACATCCAATTAAAAAAATGAGAAGTAAATCTGTTTTTCACAAATCTATGTAGACTTCTAGTAATCACTGCATTGTTTTCAGTTCTTCACAAATCTATGTAGACTTCTAGTAATCACTGCATTGTTTTCAAAGTACTGACAATTTATTGTGTTAGAGTTTGCTGTAGAAATTTCCTAAATATTATTACAAAATGGGTTGCTCAGAAGTTCTTGGGTCCTCTCTTTGACTATGTTTGAAGATACAGGCAACCTTTCCTCTTCTCTAGGCATGTGGGAAAGCAACCATTCTCCAGGGTTTTCAAAGATGATACAGATTTGACCAAATCATCAGTGCAAATTCTTTCAGTATTTTAGGATACAATCTACCAGACTTTGGTGATTTGAATTCATAGATGACCAGGAGGTATTTCCTGACTATGTTTCTATCAACTTCTGAGTTAAGTAATCTTTGCTTGGTGCATCATGCACGTGATTTTGTCTTGTTTGTTTTAGAGCTATGTTTTATAATGCCTTAGTAATTTCTAAGAGTAAGAGGCTTTTTCTACAAGACATTATGAATGAACTTAGTGCTTTAATATCCATAACTGGAGTCTAGACTGTTTTCCTTAGCCTGGGATCTAGGCACAGAGAGCTTATAAAGCAGAGACAGCTCTAGGAATGGAAGCAGCTGTGGGAATGGAAAGAACAACTCAGGCCTCCCAAAACGTCTGTAGGAATAACGATGATGACGACAACAACAACAACAACAATAATAGAAAGTAAAATGGGTGTCCCGATTTACCTTTGTAATTCAATATCCCCAACCCCCACTCCTGTACAAGAAACTTTTCCTGGGCAGCATTTTACCCTGTTTCTTACCCAGTAAAGAAAAACAATCAGAAATGAATGGCTGAAGGAAGTGGTGACAACAGCTGGTTTTGTTTTGTTTTGTTACTAAGGTATACATTAAGAAACAAGCAGCATATAGACAGGAAATTCACTTAGATTCTCAAGAAGCATTTGTCTCCGGAAGAACAAGAATCTGCTTCCAGATTCTCTTCTTCTTTCTCTCTCTTTTATTATTAACTGAGGGAAGGAAGGAAGGAAGGAAGGAAGGAAGGAAGGAAGGAAGGAAGGAAGGAAGGAAGGACTTCCCCAATTAGAAAGGCCGAAGCTAGCGCTAGCAATGACAGTGCAATTTTCACTCCAGATTCCAGTACATTGTTTAGCTAACATTATTTTTTTTACTTTATAATAATTAAGTAAGCTTTTAAAATTTTCATAACTACATTAAGAGTAGAGAAAAAAAACTGATGGATTACCAAACACAGATTAAATTTCTGATGATTAATTGGGAAGTGTCATGACTCTTTATGGTGACAAAGTTATAATAGTCTGATTTTTGATATTTTTCTGATAAAAATACTGTTTTGCATTAGACATAGAGCAGAATGATAAGAGATACAAATTGAAATTGCATACTATTGCAGATCGTACTCTCTTGACTGCATGAAAATTTAGAAAGGTGGCTTTCTTTTTCCATTGACTTGACAGAACAATATATGAACAATGGTAAATTGTGCTGTTAACTTTCTGTAAGTAGGAAATATCCCTAGTGTTCTCTGAAAAAATTGGTCAGAAGTTTCAGACTGGCAAAAAGAATTACAATAGATTGGAACTGACTTTTAAGTTTTCCATACTATTTTGGTTAACAATTCTTGTTCTTGATGCAGATTAATGATTTTATTTATAAAAGGAGATTATTGGAAAATATTATTTTCCCCCATCTGAAAGGGGGGGGGGTGAGATTGTTATAAGTACTGCGCACAGTAGATTGCAAGAATTGAATGTGATGGAGAAGAGAATGCCAGGAAAGTGAGTTTTCAGGGATTTCTTTGTTTGAAAATAGAATAAGAGTATGAGAATTGAGATTCAAAACACTGGGAGAGCACTGGTTTGGGTAAGACTCTTCTATGGTATGTACTTATGTTTCAACCAACTGTTTTTAAAATAGAAAATAATGTTTGCAGTGTACTCAGAGTAATTGATCTTTATTTAAAACAAAAATCCACAGAGTAGCTTTCCATGTTTATAAACCTTGGGGTGGGGGAACTCCATGCTAACAGTAACTACCACGACCGTCTTGTTCTCAGTCAGCCACTAGCATAAACTTGCAATCAGAAAAGACCAACCCTTCCTGAAATTAGAACAACTGTTCTCTTCCTCAGATATGCAGTGTAAAGAAAAGAAATATTTGTTGCCATATTTCTTAAAAAATGAGAAGGGTGGCTATTTTTTTACAAAAGAGCTATTACTTGTAGGCATGATTAAAATAGTAATACAATGTAATGCCCATTTTCAAACAATAGCTAGGTTGACTAATGGCAATTATTCTAAGTAAACCAGTAACTATTGGGTAATCACTGTTAAATCTTCACAAGACAGGCCATTTTCCATGCAAAAGACTAATATATTTACAGTAGCCTACTGGAATTTGCAGGCCTTGTATCACATTACAGGTAATTCACTGTGCACAACAGTCACTCCACAAATCTTCATTCATTTGCCAAGACTTTAATTGGCACACTCTGAAATGTATTGAGAAGGTCACAGACATACAGGCAAACAGACATATAGGACCTGAAATTCTATGGAAGCCAAGTTAATAGTATCAGAAAATATAAAGCAACTAAAATATGGGAAACTGAAAAAAAAAGTCCCCTGATTGCTTCAGTTCTAAAAATGAATTCAGTACATAATCTAAACATTTGCTGGAATATCAAGCCTGAATGCTAAGTGCTTGCTGGAGGGCTATATATAGATACAAAACATAGCCAAGTGAGAGAGAACCACCCACAATCATTGTCCAAAACTTTAACAATTCAGACAAATGTGTTAGTGAATTAATTCCTGCTGCTGTTTTTTTCTGTGATTGCTTGAGAATGATTTAGTGTACCCATTTGGGGTCAAGTGGATTCTGTTTGCAGCAGATGTCACAAGAATAGAAGGAAATAAATAAGTTAAGAGCATGAAGAAGAGGGAGTCAAGCTATTCTCCAAAGCACCTGAAGGCAGGACAAGAAGCAATGGATGAAAACCAACCAAAGAGAGAAGCAAACTAGAACTAAGGAGAAAATTCCTGATAGTTTAGAACAATTAAAGAGTGGAACAACCTGCCTCCAGAAGCTGTGAATGCTCGAACACTGGAAGTTTTTAAGAAGAGACTGGAGAGCCACTTGTCTGAAATGGTATAGGGTTTCCTGCCTGAGCAGTGGGTTCGACTAGATGACTTCCAAGGTCCCTTCCAACAGTATTATTATTATTATTATTATTATTATTATTATTATTATTAGTAGTAGTAGTAGTAGTAGTAGTATTGTAATTATTGTAATTATTATTATGGATAGGTGGAACCCATCTGTGATGGCAGATACATAAACAGCAACTTCTTGTTTTCTGTTGGATAGTACCCCTTAAAATGGCCATAAGGAACTAATATGACACTAGTGGATTCTATTTTGTTTAATTAGCAGCTATTCACAATCAGTATCATTTTAGAAATTTAATAGCAATAGCACTTAGACTTATATATTGCTTCACAGTGCTTTAAAGCCCTCTCTAAGTGGTTTATAGAGTCAGCACATTGCCCCCAACAATCTGGGTCCTCATTTTACCGACCTCGGAAGGATGGAAGGCTGAGTCAAACTTGAGCCCAGTGAGACTCGAACTGTCAAACTGCTGTCAGACGGCAGTCAGCAGAAGTAGCCTGCAGTACTGTATTCTAACCACTAAGCCACCAGGGCTCTTTAACCATTGTAAGCAACATTTTTCTTTTTAATATACTGCAGTCCATCTAGAATTATTTACAATAATTCCTTTGCATGTTCTGTAATGCATTATGACCTGCAGTACAATTTGCATGGGTGTGTGCACAGAAGGGACAAATGGTGTTATGTGCAATGACTCTGTTGCACAAATACTATATGTACTTGCACTAGGTATTATGTCATCACTCTATAATTATACTATTTGTGCAACAATGTCATGGCATGTGTGTCATCACTTGGATGTGACTGTAATTTTTTAGAGACACCATTTTTGAATTACTCCAAATAGGTGAAACGGTGATCACTCTTTGCTGCACCTGAAGAGTTTGGATTCTCATTCATTTTACAATCTTGCATTGGATTATGGATGTCCATAAAAGTTGGGAAACAGTTATATGAAGTATATACAAATAGTACCACAAATAAAAGTAGGCAAAGCTTGTTTTCTTTATGTTAGCTTTAATTAGAATCCTTAATTTTAGGCAGGGAAAAATCAGAAAAAGACAGGTAAAATTGTGACTGATT